TGCAATGCACGATTCTTACTGTAGTAGCCCGCTGAGTTTATAAGCATACCGCGCTTAGATTTGATTAGCCAACTTCGTTGATCATCGTTACATGAATTATTAAACGTTTAAGAGCAAAAAAGGCTATTTGAATTCATTTCTAAAAAAAATTTAATATATTAGCCTTAAAATTTCGGGTCGGGTCGGGTCGAGTCGGGTTCGGTTCGGGTTGAAGCTCTAACCCGAAAATTTTTAACCGACCCGTTCGGAGCACTAGTGATGATCACTGTGTTCATTCTTCTTTAAGTGTCCCTTATATTTTAGTTATGTAAAAAATATCTTATTAAATTGCGCAAATTAATGTCAGAAGTTCATTGTTTGACCTGAAGTATCTTGTGTCAGTGCACAGACATCCTTTACAAAATTACATACTTGATTTATTGCTATATAGTCAATCCTGGACATAACGAACCTTTCTTTATATAACGAACTCAAATTTTCTAAATTTTAATATTAGTTCAGTATAACAAGAGCTACGGCTATTAAGAAAACATATATAACGATCCTTTTTTTTGGCCAGAACCGAGGGTTCGGTATAGAAAGAGTAGACTGTAGTTGATTAATTTTATGCATCAGAATCAGAACTTTTAATATACTGTATTAGGGATGGTAAAAAAACGTTTTAAACAGTTTTTTATACATTTTTTATTGTTTTAAAAAATGTTTTAAAACATTGGTAATTTAAACTACCGCCTTTGATTGGTTAATTCAGTTTCAGAGAAAGATTTATCTTTTTATAATTGAATTTATAAAGAAATTATGAAAGAGTCATAAATTTTAACTGATTTAATTTATTTTAAATTTTTTTATTGAATAAATGTACCCTTTTATAATTAGAATTATAAAAAGAAATTATGAAAGAGTTATAAAAATGCATTTTGATCGACTTAATTTTTTTATTTTTTTTATCAATATGCACTTTGCATTCAATACTTACGTACTATATTTATTGATATTGAAAGTCAAGACATTGTAAAACCAGAATCGTGAAGGTTCAGAAGCTTTTTACATTTAGTTAAATGTTCTTTTAATCAGCCAATTAAATCAACGGAGTCCTCATTCAGTAATTACACTTTTGACGAGGTGTTGTTCGACCATGTTTGTCACTTTCTGTAATTTTTGTGAAATTCAAACGAATTTATTTCAATGGAGGTCTTCCACAAGACATAGTTATTCAAGGTAATTTTTTTTTTGATATTAGTAATCATAAGAAATATTATTTATTTAATAATAAAATCGAATTGTGTAATTTTATTGCATAACTTTATTTATTTATAAATCGAATTGCGTACCATAAAATGCCGTATAAGGTACCCCCTTGATTTGTACCAGGTATGTTTCAAGGTCACGTATGCAGTATTTTGTAAGATACCCGAGTACGAATCAATAACTATAATTTTCTAGTTCTTAGATCGTTCGTTCGTTTAAATTGTCCTCTTTACGGGTTTCAAATATCAGACAAACGTCTTTTTTCATAATTAACTGTACCTATACCTTCTTCATAACGGATTCTATGATTTTTGGAAAAGGCAGTTTGTAGCTGTGTATACTGCAAATCGAAAATACACAATCATGGGTGCGCTTGAACTTATAAAAAGATAAGTATTTGATAATTCAAGCTTTATAATTTAGTCAGATTACTATTCAATTATTAATATAATATTTATAATTTTAAGTTAATTACATTCGAATATTATTAGATCTAAAAACCTCATATCATCGCAATATAAGAGGTTAGGTGGTAAGTTTATTTAAACTTTTAAATTTGTGTGATTACAAATTATTAAACGCATTGATTCATGAAATTGTCTATTTCATTCTGATCATAATAATGATCAAATTCTCCCTGATTCAGAAAGTTTTGATGAGCCAAGAAATCTTGTGGTGGTTGAGATGAGAAGCTTTGCTGAAGTGGAAGATTTTGTTGGGGTAAAAAGTGTTGATTTGATGAGAAATCTTGTTAAAGTGGAAGGTTTTGTTGGTGCGAGAGATCTTGCAGAAGAAAGTGTTCTTGGAATGAGAGGTATGGTAGGAATAGGAGGTCTTGGAAGCTTTGTTGGGGTAGGAGGCAAAAAGTTTTGTTGAGGCGAAAGGTTTTGTAGTTCAAGGTCTTATTAAAATAAAAGTATTTTTAGAATAGAAAGTTTTATTAAGTTGTGAAACCAAGTTTTTACCATTAAAAACGTATTCATTGTCTTCATTATTGTTATCGATCTCATTGTTATTTTCAACACGATTATAATCGAAAATTAAATCGTCTTCTGATCCATCAGTTGCAACTGAGATGCCACAACATTTAAAGGAAATTTTAATTAGCTGAATAGAAGAAACTATATGACCCCAAAAAGAATTCATTACTAAAAGTGACTGTGGGTTCTCAGAATGTGGTGTATGATTTTGCCAAATCTTATCTATCCAAAAGCTCATTTTTATTTCATTCATCCATCCACTTTCATTAGTTCTAACAACTACACCTGGTGGGAACTCAAGTCATAGAACATTTTTTAACTTAAAAATAATCATTGGAGGTAATTTTTTACCATCTGCCATACATGCAAGTACAACAGTGAAGCAGGATTTTTTGTAACCACAAATTCTAATACTGATCATTTTATTTCCTTTATCATCTATAGTTACATTACTCGGCATATCAAAAGAAGGGGGGTTTCGTCCATATTACCTATTAATAGTAATGGATAATTATATTGAATACGGCAATATTGAACAAAATTAAAAAATGCTTGCTGTTGTGTCTCTAATTCTGCTGGTAGCTTTTGTGCAATAGTTGTTTTACGACAATTACTAAAACTATTACATTGTAAGAAACAATCAAGCCACTTGTTACTCCACTTAAGCATGTTAATATTAGGATAGTAAAGAATATATTTTGGAGACTTTGCTAATGCTGCAGCTTTATTTTGTATCATAACACGGCTAACTGGTTTTAATTTGCTATGTAAAGCTCGAATCCATTCAGCAAGTTCCTCTTCAAGTTTAGGATAATTTGGTTGAGCACCAACATTGAGACATTTAATATGAGGCTGAGCTAATAATAGCTTGTCTTGTTTGCTTTTCCAATTCTGAATTTGCTTGGGTTGAATTAAAAATTTATCTGCTGTTCCCCGTACAGTAGCTCCAGGAACCATTTCAAGGCAAAAAATTATAAAAAGTTTCTCTCGGGCTGTCCATTGATAGTTTTTTTTTTGCTAAAGTCTCATTGTAGAAATACTTTTTAGGAGAACCATAATGTTGAAAATAAGTTTTCGTAATGTTTATGCTTTTGAAAAGTTTTTATCTTATAAAAAAACATGGTTTAAAAAAAAACAAAGTCTTATATCTACATATTATAAAAAAAAAAACAAAAAAACATTCATGAAAAAAAAAAACTTAAAACATTTGTGAAAAAAAAAAATCTAAAAAAAAATTTTTTACAAAAAAAAAAAAAATCATCCCCTTCTTCATAATAACGATTATCAGTATCATAGAATCTTAAAGGTAAATGTATCATATGTAAAAAAAATTTGGCTTATTGCCATATTACATGTATTACCGGTGCAATATTACCGGTATAAAATGTAAAACCAGAAGAACGAAATGCAGAAATACGGCATCGCTATATACTTAATAATATACCCCCCTTACAAAAGACCCCCCATATAATATACCCTCCTCCATACAAGGTACCCGGGGGGTACAAATCAAATTTTAAGCACGTGAATTGTAAGATACCCGGGTACCTTATACGGCGCTTTACGGTAATTATTTATATGTGATGATTACGTCATAATGTTTTAAAACATTTTTAAACAATTAAAAATCAAACAATCGAGATTTTTAAGATCGTGTTTTAAAACATTGCCATCCCTATACTGTATCAAGAGCAGAACTTTGGTCATTTTACTCGTTCACCAATTGTCGGAGCATAGTGAAGGACAATTATCGGATTTTCAATAATGCACTATATAGAGTACTATAAATTTTAAAAATATAATTTTCGATCATGACCTAGTTACTATAAGTACGTAGTGTCTAACGGTACGTATAATTTTGGGCACCTGAAATTATTGTACCACTTATCGTTATTGTGAGTCTTAATTTGGTCAGCTGCGTGGTGTCAACTTAGTCCTGAAAATCATACCGAATACGTAATAACGATAAGTCAGGTAATTAATTCCCCATACGGATTAAGGTTGCGCCTTATCGTTATTGTTATATGTATAAATTCCGGTATATAAGTTAAATGTAAAAAAAAGGTACACTAATAACAATATGGCTAAACATGTTGCGATTATTGGCGCAGGTAGATATTAACAAAATTTTAAAGCATTTGAATATCGAAAAAAAATTAATATATTTCAAATAAAATGATTTAATAAAATCTATATTAGGGATCTCTGGTTTAACAGCAATAAAACAGTGTCTAGATAATGAGTTGATTCCAATTTGTTTTGAACAAAATTCCTTTATCGGTGGAATATGGAGATACGAAGATGTTTGTGAAAAAAATAATGAACCTTATTCTTCAATTTATAAAGGTGTTTTAACTAATACATCTAAAGAAATGGTTTTGTATTGATTTTATTTTTTGGTGAATCAAAATACAGTAATTGAATTCGTAAATGTAATCTATCTATTTGATCTCTATAATAGACGACGTTTTCTGATTTTCAAATTCCAGCTGACTGGCCGATTTATATGAATCATTCACTAATAGAAAAGTAAATCTTTTTTCAGTAAATTCGTTTTCTTATTGAAGATTTTCACGATTATTTTATTTTTTAATTATGTTGAAAAATAGATACATTGATATGTACGCTGAACATTTTAATCTTTTACCTCATATTAAATTTAATACTACCGTGTTAAAAATATCAATTCTACCTGATAACCGTTGGAAAGTTAAATATATAATCCAAAGTGAAAGTGAGGAAAAAGAAGAGATTTTTGATTTTGTAATGGTTTGTTCCGGTCATCGCAAACCTAAGTGGCCCGAATTTAAAGGAATGAATTTATTTAAAGGTGAACAATTGCATTCTTATAAGTATAAACGGTAAGTTCACAGGATTTATAACTTCTCTATTTAGAAAGGGAAGCATATAAATAGTGACATTTGGCGAATTTGTGGAATTGACCTTTATTCAAATACCCTAACGCTAAATCTATAAGATAGATACGTATGGACATCATGTACTTTATAATGCTTAGTCGTCACATACAATAACTTACGATTTTCATAATACAATATTAATAATACGTATAACAATTAAGCACCATGTACGTAGTGATAAGGCGCACTATGCCCATCTTTACCATTAAGATTAAAACTTCCAGATCTGCTATGTAATACCAAGACATAATGGTCCTCTCTTGGCATTACCCATTTTTAGATTCCGAAATACTCCATAAATCCGCCAAATTGACTTCCCATTTTGTATATATTATTATCATTATTACTAATATCGTATGTTTAGAGCTATAGATTTCGAAAATAAACGCGTTTTGGTTGTTGGTTGCGGCAATAGGTATGAATATGACTTAAATTGTGTAATTATAAAATTCATATAAATATTCTTATCCACTAATTAATTTAGTGCATTGGATATTGCGGTTGAGTTGACATATTCTGCATCACAAGTCTATTTAGGCATTCGTAGAGGTAAAACTTTGCATTTTATATTTATTTTAGATCCTTATAATTATAATCTTGTTTTTTTCTACAGAAAAACTTCCGTGGATAGTACCACGCTTCATAAATGGTAAAGCGCTCGATCATAGTGTATCTCGTTTCTCTGCATATATTCCACTTTCTATTAAAGGAGGAATTCTAGAAAACCATATTATTAAAACTTTTCCATTTCCCTCTCATCTAATGCCTACTGATCCTTTAATTTCTACATATTTTGCTATAAATTCTGAGATTTATCAGTGTCTCGCAGCTGGTACAGTTATTGTAAAACCGAGCATTAAAGAATTTAAATCTGAAAATAATCAAATTGAATTCGTTGATGGAACTTTTTTAGAGAATATTGATGTTGTTATTTATTCTACTGGTTATTACATTGATTATCCATTTTTAGAAAAACATATTTATATTGGTGGTGATGAAATTGAACAAGAATATGGAAATGAATTTCATGATTTAGTTTGGTTATATAGATCGATATTTCCTCCAAAGTATCCAAATATTGCTTTTATTGGGTTGGAATTAGGTGCTGGTTCTACTTCATCAATGAGGTGAGTTTCAGAAATTTAATAATGTTAATTTGTTTGCTTGTACTGTACATACCGTAATTTATTTTTCTTTTACATTAAACTTCTTTTTACAAAGTGAAATGCAAGCACGTTATGCAGCAAGTCTTTTTAAAGGATTTACCAAGCCGCTCCCATCTCAAAATGAAATGGAAAAGTCTATACGTGAATATTATAAAAGCATTCGTAAAAATTATTGTAAATCTGATCGTAGTGCTATTCGGTTATCTTATATACCTTATATGGATACTTTGAGTAAAGAAATTGGTTGTTATCCTTGTTCTTATGAAATTATTAAAAAATTTGGTTTTAAGTTTTGGAAATTAATTATTTTTGGCATGGCTACTCCTATTCAGGTACGTAATTTTTTTTCATTATATTAAACAATATTAAAGCATCTTATTTTAATCAAGTGCTAATTATATTATTTTATAGTATCGGCTACTAGGAAGGAATTCTTGGGAAGGTGCAAAAGAAGCTATTTCGCTTTATAACAAATATAGTTTTAAAGCTACTGCAAGAGAATCAAGGGGTTATAAATCATGGATATATATCCTTATTATTTTGTTAATATTACTAAATAGAAATGGTTCTTTTAAAAAAATAATTAATCATGTAAATGGAAAATTTTTTAATAAATAAGTAAATGCTACATATACTATATTACTTTTCCAATTATAATTTCGTGAAAATAATAAGCATGCTCTTCTCCAACAAGGCTAACAAAAAAAAAAAAAACAGCGATATTGTTAATGTAAACGTTGCGGCAATAATACAATATCAACTTTCAATTTTTTCTTTTTAGTTGATATTTTTTTGTTCTGAAATATCCAACGTATCTCTGTTTAACAGCTGTAGAACTTTTAAATCATATTTGTAAAAGAATTATCTATTTAAAAAAATCATTATAACCATATAAATATCAATTTTAAGTGAAGCCGAAACCGCAATAATTTTTATGAAAGAAAAAGCTGAATCATATTATAAAATTAGAGAAATAGATTAGATCAAGAACCTTTTCAAATGCCTATAATGAAAAAAAAAATTGTATGACAGAATTTTTCGCCAAACTGTAATAAAAGTTTTTGTTTTTTTGGTTAACGAAGAGTTACCACAGTATTGTATATTATTTATAATTGTTGGCTGGTAGGATCAATGTCTAACACTGCTACATAACTGATATATTTATGTACGCTAAGTACGTATAATAGTAAACACATTGAATGTTTAATTAGTTAATATTAGCATCTTGACAAATATTTACAAAAAAGCATTTGAGTGTTATAAATAGGCTGCAAGCTTAAAGTTTTTTGAATTAACGAAAACTATATGAAAATTTTTTATTTGTAAAATAAAAACAATTTTTAAAAGCTTAAAAGTGATCATAAATTAATATTAATGTTGCAAAAGTTCTGAATAAGATTTATTAAAAAATAATCAAAATTAAATTTCGCATAGTAAATATTGTAATAAATTTAATTTAAAACAGCGGTTAAATTGTAACTAAAGATAAAGTTAAAATTTTTCAATAATTTATATATTATAGAAATAAAAGCAAAATTTGTTATTCTAATTTACTGTATTATTAATATTATTACTATAGAGTTAAATGTTTTAGAGTTCTTATAAATGCACCAACAAATGCCCTTCCTTCTTATAATGTAATTCATTCTAGGAAGACTTAAAGAGTTTAGCGTGGTGTTTTTGTAAAATGCATTAGCAAGCACCCTCTCTCGTTCTGATCCAATCTCATTCCAAAAAAAAAGACTCAAAGAGCTTAATGTTATGTTTATGCAAAGTGAATGCATCCTTCTAGTCCAAGATTATTACATTAATGTCAGCACAACGTTGTTCTTGCAGAGTGCATCTTCAAGTTGTTTAAATGAAGATCAAAGAGTCAACGTAGTGTTCTTACAAAGTGCATCTGCTAATTCTTTTCCTCCTCCTGATTATTACTAATAAGACTTAAAGAAATCAGCATAGTGTTTTTGTAAAATGCATTTGCTAATACTGTTCAAGTTTATTCAAATGAAGTTCAAGAAGTCAACGTGGCGTTCTTGAAAAGCGCATCTGCTAATACTTTTTCTACCTCTGATCCAATATCATTCCTAACTATATTTAAAGAAGTCAGCGTAGTATTCTTACAAAGTGCATTTGCTAATGCCTTTCCTCCTTCCGGTCGAAGATTATTCAAACGAAGATCCAAAGAAATCAGCGTAGTGTTCTTACAAAGCGCATCTGCTAATGCTTTTCCTCCTCTTGATCCAAGATAATTATTACCAAGATCCAAAGAAGTCAGCGTGGTGTTCTTGCAAAGGACATCTGCTAATGCTTTTCCTCCTTCTGATCCAAGATTATTATTATAAAGATTCAAATCTTTCAGTGTGGAGTTTTTGCAAAGTGCATCTGCTAACGCTTTTCCTCCTTTAAATTCAAGTTCATTCGAGTCAATATTCAAAGAAGTCAGCGTTGTGTTCTTACAAAGTGCATCTGCTAATGCTTTTGCACCTTCTGATCCAAGTTTATTAAAACGAAGGTTCAAAGAAGTCAGCGAAGTGTTCTTGCAAAGTGCATCTGATAATACTTTTCCTCCTTTTGCTCCAAGATAATTGCTACCAAGACTCAAAGAAGTCAGCATTGTGTTTTTACAAAGTGCATCTGCTAGTGCTTTTCCTCCTTCTAATCCAAGTCTATTCAAACGAAGATCCAAAGAAGTAAGATTAGTGTTCTTGCAAAGTACATCTGATAGTGCTTTTCCTCCTTCTGATCCAAGATTATTTTCTCCAAGATTCAAATCTTTCAACGTAGTATTTTTGCAAATTACATCAGCTAATGCTTTTCCTCCTTCTGATCCAAGATTGTTACGATAAAGATTCAAATAAATTAGCATAGAGTTTTTACAAAGTGCAGCTGCTAATGTTTTTTCTACATCTAATCCAAGTTGATTTTCCTCTAGATTCAAAAAAGTTAGTGTTTTGTTCTTGAAAAGTGCATCTGCTAACGCTCTTCCTCCTTTTGATCCAAGTTTATTCAAACCAAGATCCAAAGAAGTCAGAGCGGTGTTCTTGCAAAGTGCCTCTGCTAATGCTTTTCCTCCTTCAGATTCAAGACAATTACTACCAAGATTCAAAGAAATCAGCGTATTGTTCTTGCAAAGTGCATCTGCTAATACTTTTCCTCCTTCTGAATCAAGAATATTACAATTAAGATCCAAATCTTTCAGCGTGGTGTTCTTGCAAATTGCATATGCTAACGCTTTTCCTCCTTCTGGTCTAAGTTTATTACTCCGAAGATTCAAGAAAGTCAGCGTGTTGTTCTTGCAAAGTGCATCTGCTAATGCTTTTCCTCCTTCTGATCCGATTGAATTACCACCAAGATTCAAGGTGGTCAGAGTGGTGTTTTTGCAAAGCGCATCTGCTAATGTATTCCTCCTTCTGGTCCAAGTTTATTACGATACAGATTAAAAAAAATCAGTGTTGAGTTCTTGAAAGTGCATCTGCTAATACTTTTCCTTCTTCTGAACCAAGATTATTAGATTGAAGATTCAAAGAAGTCAGAGTAGTGCTCTTATAAAGTGCATTTGTTAACTCGGTTAAATTTTTCAATTGACATTTGTCCTGGGAAAGAAGGCATTTTCTAGATCCTCAAGATTATGCTGACAGTTTCCGAGAATTTGTTCAAAAAGTTCTAATGCTTTATGAAATTTACCTTGCTCAAAACATTCACGTGCTTCCTTTCTCAAACTCTTAAGAATGCTATTATCTTGCGCTGAAGAATCTAAATAAAGTGGAGCCGATGCTATAACTTCAAGTGAATTGACAGGTACAGTTATATTGTTTTGCTGACTTGAGAGAGTTTCGCTATTTTGAGTTGATGTTTCAATAAAATTATGTCGACTCAAAGTTTCGTTAGAAATAAGTTGGTTTAAAATATCGTGAATTAATATGGTTTCTGGACGATTGGCAGGATCGTTGTCCCAACATTTCTTGTAAAGCTCAATATATTGAGATGGTGTACCTTCTATAGCAGTCACACGATTTGTCACGGTGTAATATTTTTTATATATAAAGGTACAAAAAAAACATATAAAATTACTATGAACTTTGATTCCGTGATGTTTCTTCCCCTACATATTAACTTAAAAATAAATTTTACAATCAAATATATCAAGAAAAGGCGAATAAAAATGTTTTAAGTTTCGAATTAAAATTTTGTAAATTTTGCAGATTTTAAAAATGCAACTTTATCAAAACTAAATATTTACTAATTTTAAAAGAAGAATTATATGTAAAATTTTATACTGAACAAAATTTTTCTTAGTAGCAAAATAGGTTGTATTAGTAAAAAAATAAGTTATCTATATACTAATGTTAAAAA